GTGATATGGAGGGTAGGGCCAGTAGATTATGAGGTGCAGTTAGTGGGGAAGAAGAAGGGCTCCACATGAACCTATTAAAAAAATGGAAACCCTGTGAGGCCCTCATGATAGTCCTGGAGCAGGAAGAACCCGAAGTCGGACCTTGGACCGGGGAAATGGGGAGCATGACATCTCTGGCCCTGGGAGCAGGACTGACAATGGTGCAGCGTGAAGAAGGGGGAAGAATCACCCGGGACTACACCTCCACCCTCTCCACATCACCAGGAAAGACCCAGGTCCTATATCACCATATCTCCACAACACCGGGATGCAAGGTATGCGATGCGGTATGGCCACTACCCAGAAAAATGTGGGAAACAGTGAGGAGAGAGGTACAGGAGATGTTACACCTGGGGGTGATTGAGGAATCCCACAGTGGGTGGAGAAGCTCAATCATATTAGTGCTAAACTCAGGTGGAGCAATCAGGTTTTGTGTGGATTTTAGAAAAGTAAACGCGATCTCCCGGTTTGACGCTTACTCAATGCCCCGGGTGGATGAACTTCTAGAAAGGTTGGGAGAAGCCCAATACATGTCAACCCTGGACTTAACATTAGGGTATTGGCAAATACCCCTGACACCGGCTTCCAAGAAAAAGGCTGCCTTTTCCAGCCCGTTTGGTTTATTCCAGTTTAAGACAATGCTGTTCAGACTGCATGGGGCTGCTGTGACCTTCCAGAGATTGATGGACCGAGTTTTGTGGGACCATCGGGGATACGCAGCGGCCAACATCGATGATATCGTCATCTACAGCAAAGACTGGGATGAGCACGTACAACACCTCCGGGAGGTATTAAAGTCCCTAAGGTACGCCAGATTAACAGCCAACCCGGCCAAATGCCACATAGAACAATAGGAGGTGACGTACTTGGGGTACACCATGGGGAGGGGGAAGCTGAGACCACTGACAAACAAGGTGCAGGCCTTAGCCGAGTACAACTTCCCGACCACCAAGAAGCAAGTGTGACAATTTTTAGGTTTAGCAGGCTACTACTGTAGATTTATCCCTCATTTCGCAACCATAGCAGGACCCCTCACCGATCTAACGAGGGCATCACAGCCTAAAAGGATTGCAAAGTCAGACCAGGGAGAAAAGGCCTTCCATAAACTAAGAACCACGCTGATGAGAGCACCGGTGCTGAGACAACCGGACTTCTCAAAAGAATTTATAATACAGACTGATGCCTCAGCAGTAGGGCTAAGGGCAGTCCTGGCACAAGAAATAGACAGCGAGGAACACCTGGTATTATATTTTAGCCGGAAGCTGTTCCCCTGCAAAAAGGCATACCTGGCACAAGAAATAGACGGCGAGGAACACCTGGTATTATATTTGAGCTGGAAGCTGTTCCCCTGCAAAAAGGCATACGCCACTATAGAAAAGGAGGCCCTAGCAGTAAAATGGGTTGTAGAATCCCACAGGTATGTCTACACTGCCACCCTAGTTTGAATAGGGTGGCTAATGTAGGCATTCGAACTTGCAAATGAAGCCCGGGATTTAAATTAAAGCTCCTAATTCGAACTACCATTAAACCTCCTTGCAGGAGGAATAACGGTAGTTCGAATTAGGAGTTTTAATTCAAACTACCTAGTCCATACCGCATGTAGCCATGGGCAGGTAGTTCGAACTATGGGCATTTTAAAATGGCGGTGCCCGGGAACATGCAAATGAAGCCCGGGATATTTAAATCCCAGGCTTCATTTGCAAGTTCAAATGCCTACATTAGCCTAGTTCGAACTAGGGTGTCAGTGAAGACATACCCTCGAGTACTATCTGCTCAGGAACACTTTTAAATTAGTAACCGACCATGCCCCCCTGAAATGGTTGCAGTCTATGAAAGAATTAAACCCGAGAATAACGAGATGGTATTTGGCATTACAACCCTACAGTTGAGGTTTCACATAGACCGGGCCGTAAACATAGCAACACAGATTTTTTTTCGAGATTGGAGGAACCTGGAAGAGATGGGGAAGGTGAAGAGGCAAAGGACTTAAGGGGGGGGAGGGGGCTGAAGGGTTAAGCCCCGCACTCGAGTGGCACAGGGCCTTGGCGCTGAAGCGCGCAAGCAGCTTTGCCACGCCTGTTCAGCGGCCGCCACCTGCGCAGGCGCAGGGATTCCCCTGGCCGGCGCATCGGGGGAGAGGAGCCGAGAAGCGCATGTGCCAGCGTCCCGGGAAGAGGGCACCATTTTAAAAGGGAGGATGCCCGGCTCTAAGGGGAGGAGGGCAGGAGTCAGGTGGGCAGCTGGAACCCGCATGTCAGTCACACCTGCTCTTAGGGTCCTAGGCTGGACCTGGAGAGAGGGAGGATCCAGGTCCCCCTTTCCTTCCGGTGATCACCCGGACGCACTGGGTAACCTAGATATTGGCCCAGGGCTAATAAAAACGGCAGCAGGCAGGGGTGGTTGCAACGACTGGTAAGAGGGACAACCCCAAAGGGGGGGGGGTCAACCCCGGACAGGGGTCAACCCCCTAACACCCAGGAATTAGTAGAGAAAAGGAACAGCAGAAGTAAAGTTTCAAATAGCAAATGGCAGTAAACAGCAGCATAAGTTTCAAATGGCAAATCAATTTTAATGTTGATAAATGTACATTAGAACATATTGGAAAAATAATCTCAACTATACATATAAAATAATGGGGACTAAATTAGCTATTACTACTAAGAGAGAGAGAGAGAGAGATCTTGGAGTCATTGTGAATAGTTCTATGAAAACATCCACTCAATGTTCAGCGGCAGTAAAAAAAAGCAAATAGGATATTGGGTATCATTAAGGAAGGAATTGAGAACAAGACAGAGAATGTAAACCTTGTTTCACGAGGCATAAGGGTAAGACAGAGAATGTAAACATCGTTTCACGAGGCATAAGGGATTGGTTGACAAAGGCTTTCCTTGGTGACCGATCCCCATCTTGACTGCCGCTTTGTGCTGACAAACAGCTGAGCCGGCACAACATGGCAGCCATTTTTATTCTAATGAAGCTGGGGATATTTAAATCCCCGCTTCATTGACTATGTTGGTATGTCTTATTTACATGCCTCTGTCGGCAGAGGCATGTAGTCTAGACATACCGCAAATGCAATTAAGAAGTAGCAGGTTTAAAACAAACAAAAGAAAGCATTTTTTCACACAATGCAGAGTCAAGCTGTGGAACTCCTTGCCAGAGGCTATTGTGAAGACTGGGACTTTAACAGGGTTAACAAAAACCAGGATCAATCCATGGAGGACGGGTCATAACTACTAGCCAGGATGGAATGGAATGGTGTCCTCAGCCTGTTTGTCAGAAGCTAGGAATGGATGACATTTGATCTTCTGTTCATATCTTCTAAGGCACCTGGCATTGGCCACTGTCAGAAGACAGGATATTGACCTTTGGTCTGACCTAATCTGTCCATTCTTATGTTCTAATAGCTGTCTTGCACTGTTGTAATTCATCTACATTAGGGGGTTGCATTGATTTACATTTCCTTAATGTAAGCAGTCCTTATGTCCCATGCAGTTGAATTAATGGGATTCCAAAAAGTCACTGGAAGCATAATTAAAACTAAAAGTCCTTGTGAATGGCAATTAAACACTAAGGATGAAATCCTTGACTCATTTATGCTGTATAACTGTGATTATGACATGAAATAATTAAGATGGATTCTATCATCCTACAGTAAGATTGCAGAACTTACTTTGAGAAAAAAATCTAGAATTTTTAAAAATTTGTAAACTGAACATATCTGATACGGAAATCATAGAAAGTAACAATTAACATGGAAATTTACAATGTGACCTGCTCTTTAAGCCTCACAGAACCACATAAGTTAGGTACTATACAGATGGGAAAACTAATACACAGCAACACCAGATGACTTTACCATGTATATATAGCGAGTCAGTGTAGATCAAGGAAAACATTATTTGACATTTACTCTACTACTTAAACCACATTCCCTCCCTTATGAATTCAACTAACAATTATATTTACTAAAAACAAGTTTACCACCTTCTCCATTCTCTCCGCCTATTGGTCTCAACCCAGCATATTTTTGTCTTGTGATTCATTTAAAAAGCAAGTATTTAGGGGCAAAGACCATGGATACATTCTGGGCCCACTGTCCTCAGTTGGAGTTTTGCCATTGATTTTAATAGGGCCAAGATTTCATCCACTGTCTTTACTCACTATTTAAAGTGGCATGTATAAATTTTAAACAATAATCAATACTTTCTTCTCTGTTCTTATAAATCACATTTCTTGGGTCTAATAGTTCACTACTATAAAAATGATTATTTCTATACTTGACTTTCATTACTCATCGAGGATGTAAAAAACAACAAATAGTCTGGTAGTACTTTAAAGACTAACAACAGCCATACTGGGTCAGACCAACAGTCCATCTAGCCCAGTAACCTGTCTTCTTAAGTGAACAATGGCCAGGTGCCCCAGGGGGAATGAACAGAACAGGCAATATTAAAAGGCAAGTAGAAATATTTAAGGATTATTCATAATAATGTGCCTAATGACATACAGGTTTTATTTGAGATTACATGTTCAGTTATCAACATGCAATAGAACAGTTGCTTTTGTCACAATTCACATCTCATCAGAAGCTGGAAAGCAGGACCACATGTTCAGTTATCAACATGCAAGAGAACAGTTGCTTTGTCACAATTCACATCTCATCAGAAGCTGGAAAGCTTAGGATAATATTTGAATGACATTTCTAAACCAAAAGTTTTGATGAAATGACAGATAAGCAGCTGAATTTTTGGTGTATTATTTAAAATATACTAAGCAACAAAGTTTTTGAAGTTCATCATTGTTAATTTTTTTAAATGAACTGCAATTATTTAAATAGCGAAAAACGCACATTTACTTTTTACCTGTTTTCAGCATACTTGCTATTAATATTAACTTTGAAACTGCATATTGCTAGCAAAGAGTTGCTAAACAAAGCTAGATAAAATGCATGAAGTTACCTTTATAATGCTTTCCCCAGGCCTCATGTCTGTGTAAATCTTCACATTATATGATATGTTGGAGAAGGTTGGTGAGTTATCATTTGCATCAATAACAAGGATATTGACCATAACTGCAGTACTCTCCTGTACACCATCAGAAGCTGTAATCTTCAAAGGTAAAAGAATACAGGAAAATATAGGGTAGAATTAAGATAAATGCAACTCAAAATAAAATGAATTTTGTCTTTTTGTATTCAATCTAGCATGTGTTGGCACCTATTAGAAAAAATCTGTATACTTGTTTTACTAGATTACCCCTATGATGATAGAATGGGAAGTAAGCTGAAAATATAGCTGTTGCCAGAAAGAAAGCAATAATGCACTGAATAATGAAACACAAAGGATAATATAAATATATCCTCTGCAATGACAGAGGACCTGTAATGTGAGAGACCTCTATCTGTTAATCCAACATTTTCAAATAATCTCATTTTGGGGCCAAACCTGCAACAAGCTGAGAATCTTTATCTCCCCTGGAGTGCATTTAACACAACAGGACTTAACTCAAAATAACCTATGCACATTGAGCTACATCAATTGCATAGCTTATTTTGAAACTGGGAACATTTACATAGCACTTATTTCAAAAAAGAGCACTCTTCCTGTGCTTTCCCTTAGTCCTCATACAATGAGGGTTACAGGAGTCAGAGTAAGAAGTCTTCCAGCTTGACAGTATTTCAACATTATTTTGAAATAACTGCCTGCTGTGTAGACGCGGACTAAGTTATTTCAAAATAACACTGGTTATTTTAAAATAATGTTTAAATAATGTTGCTGTGTAGACATACCCATGGAGACCAATGGTAATTGAAGGAATTTAGCACCTTCCAAAAGACACTTAGAATCCTAAAACTGGGTTGTACCAACTAGGGATGTCAATAGTTATCTGGTAAGCATTACCCTTGGAGTTAATTGGAAGCCCAGCCAGAGTTGAGCAACCCCCTGCCTGACACCTGTGGAGGCCAGATCAGCCCCCACCTGTGAAGGGACCAGCTTGGGTGAAGAAGCACCTTCCCATGGTGGGGAGCTGCTTCAGGCCATTTGGCCCCCTGTCTGCCTGTTTAAGCTGTTAACTGGTTAAACATAACAGTTAACTGGTTAAACAGGATTTTACATCACTAATATTACTTGCACACTAGATTTTCCTAACTTATATTGAATCTCCTCTACATGTTTCCTCAGTGTCAGCAAGAGCACACGGATGTGGCTGACAATGATGGTAAGCAGGAAGAATCTCTCATTTCTCCCCTCCACAGAGAAAAAGTACATCTCGGGCAATGGGACTGAAAGCATATTCTCTTTACCGTGGCATTGTTTTCTACCTGGGCTTGGATGAATCATTTCTGGCAGAGAGAGGGTAGTTCAGTTTCAGTGCCTGTTCAATAATTTTCCCCCAATGACTTGCTGAGAATTACCCCAAACTTTATGAAATAATCTTAAATAAACTGGTGATGATTATTATAATTTCTTAGTCATTTTACTGGAGTGCCACAAGGCCTAATGGAGCCTGCATCTGCATTGTGCTAGGACCAGTACACTCACAAATTAGACCAGTGGCTCTCAATTTTCCCAGATGACAATACCCCTTTCAGGAGGCTGATTTGTCTCACATCCCCCAAGTTTCATGACACTTAAAAAACACTGGCTTACAAAATTACATTCAAATATACAAAAGTGTCAGATCACACTATTACTGAAAAATGGCTTACTTTCTATTTTACCATATAATTATAAAATAAATCAACTAGAATATACATATTGTACTTATAATTTCAATATAGAGTATATAGAGCAGTATAAACAAGTTACTGTCTGTATGAAATTTTCATTTCCTGGTGCTTTTTATGTAGCCTGCTGTAAAACTATGCAAATATCTAGATGAGTTGATGTACTCCCAGAAGACTTTCTGTGAACCCACTGAGGTACACATAACCCTTGTTGAGAACCACTGAGTCAGACAATCCATATCTCAAAAAATAACAGAATATGAATAGGCATGACAAAGGATAAGGAAAAGGAAAAGGAAGAATTATTTTGGAGAAAGAGATTTGACACACAAAGTAATAAGTGATTTGCCCCTGGTCAAATAGAAAGTCCCTGGTAAAGCCAAGAACTAAACTCAGATTTCCTAAGTCCTAGCCCAATTACATTCTCATCCTGTGTTCTTTATTAAATAGGGTGGCAGATTCTTACATTTTCTGTGCTCTCTTTGCATTGCTCAGGCAACCCAAAGGGACCAGAAATTCACTGTAACTCCTCTGCTGGGGGGTCCATCTGATCCAAGGAGCATCCCAGTAGATACAGAGCCAGTTACTATATTGCTCTGCCACAACAAGTGGCACAAAATACCTCAACGTATCATCAGGCAAAAGGAAAGGAGCAATTGTTGAAGCCTTAATGTTGTCCAAAGTTTCCTAAGAAAGCTCAGAGGTAGAGTATATCTCAGAAACTCTGGAGCTGATAATACTTGACAGGGCTTATATCAATTAATTAAATAGGTGAATTATGCTCATAGATTATTGAAGTGTGTATATGTTCTTCTCTGTCACTCTTTTTTTTGTCATTGTGGGGTATAGCTTCTTATTCTCTGCTTACACCAGAACTGGACTGGTTTGAAACTAAATATATTGCTACAGCACAAAACTCTGTTTCATAAAATGGATATTATTGATATTGTTTATTGGTCAAAATTAAGGATATTATTAATAGTTAAACCATCAAACCAGGAACTCAGTCAGCATGAGGAAGATGTGGAAAGGAAATCAGCATTTGAAAATGAACTCATTTTGGATCCAAACCTTCAAATAACCATATTCCATAAGCTCCCATTGAAATCAATGGGGATTCAAATAATTCAACACCTTCCAAGAGGCGCTTGGTATCTTGCAAAATGGGTTGAAAATACACACTATAATTTCCGAAATTTCTCACACATTTATGCCTCCGCAGTGACAGCAAGAGGGAAGTGAGGTGACAGAGTAGTGGAGAGTAGGAAGAATCCTACCTTCAACTTTTTTTAACCTACCAGTGAGGTGTCTGGAGAAATGAGAGAAAGCTGTTTCATTAAAAAGGATGAACTAACCTACTCCTCCTTCATTCAGATCCAGGGAAAAAAAAGAAAGAGCAATTCTGAATCAGAATTCATTCTCTGGCCTGTTCTAGGTGGTGCAGCTACACACTGTATTTTATTGTGGACAAAGTATAAAGTAATGGTATAGCCCTAAATTATTCCTCTTCTCTAAATGGACATTAATTTGAGAGAGAGAGAGACAGAGAGAGAGACAGAGAGAGAGAGAGAAATATGCTCACCAGGACAATCTAGTCAAAAAGTGTAGGCTGTTTTATTTCCTCTCTCTCATAGCACATTGCTTTTTCAACGTTAAAAATAACTAGGGGGATGTGCCCTCTGCTTGCTATGCTCACCTAACCCCGACTCTCTGTCCACTTTTGCTTCGCTGAGACAGTCTGTTGATGCTGATGATGTGATGATGTCATTCTGTTGCCTGGCAGGAACATTCTGTCATCTAGCAGGAAACACTTTTTTATATATAGAGAGAGATTATCCTATCTGGGCAGTGTGTTCCTGAAAAAATAGTGCTTACCGAGAAGGTGTATAACTGCTGGCGCTCTCTATCAACTGGTTGGAGTAAGGTGAGGTAGCGGGTAATACCAGTCTGAGTCACAGTGAAAATTGTATTATAATCATTTAGGAAAATATGGAGCTGTGGATCCTTTCTCTTCAAAGAGAAAGAAAAAGTGTTAATATTCAATATATACATGTAAATATTGACAAAAACATGCAAGCATTATAGCAGAATTAAGTATATTATTAATTTGTATTACTGCGGTGCTTATGAGCCTTAGTTAACGATCACAATCCCTTTGTGGTCCCTGCCTGAAAGAGTTTACAATGCACAGTGACATTAGTGAGAGTGAGAAACAGCAAAACACCTGAATTGCTTTCATTAGTCCCTTTTTAAAATACAATACTCTGAAAAAAAGCATTTGAAAAGAAATTAAGAAATATAGTGACAACTCCAAACAATGTTTTAAAAACAAAATAAAAGAAAACCTACCAAAATAGGGTGATACTATTTTGAGTTTTAAACAGATAATTCTTACTTATCAAGATAAAGATCCCATACTTGGTTTGATAGTATTTGTCCTCAGAGCATATCTGGAGAAATCTTTCCATTTGCTAAATACAGCAACAAAATAGTTCACATGAACAATGTCTATTACATGCCAAAGATTAGTATCTGGTTGTTGCACAAACCCTGTACTGCATTTCCTTGTATATCCAAAGAAAAACACAGGCAAAAATAAGGATTATTATTATGACCACAAATGAAAATAACCCTCAGAATCTAAATATATTGTAGTTTGATTTGAAATAATATTTTTAGTAAACATGTGTTATGTGTTTTAAGTGCTCAAGACTTCTCTAAAATGTCTGGTCGGGAAAGATTTTCATACTCATCCTATGAAGTTTAGGTGGTTAGGTAGATACAAGTTTTCTTGTATGTACCAAAAGGTACGTGGAAGTTTAAAAAGGCGTACTAAATGACTGACCTAGAACTCAGCTAGTTTGTCTTCCTTTACATAGCTTTAGTAGATCGTGTGTATTTCAATTGTGTGAGGAGAAGCAATAAACAACCCTTTCCAAAGAAGAGGTACATACTGGTACAGAAAGGACACCACCTGTCTGAAAGAGGGACAGACTAAAAGTGCTATGCGACACATTCACAGAAGACTATACTCCCTGTCAAAAATAACACAGAGATATGATGTCTAATGGCCAGAAACTGTGGACTGACTCTTTAGCAATTACTGTAGCCTGAGGCTGGGCGGGTCTATAGGAAGCTGCAAAGGGGGCTCTAAATCACATTGTGGATCCCTGATCCTCAAGCTGCTAGATGCCATGTCTGCCTGTTTTTTATATCATCTGATATAAGCTTAAACTTGTTATGGCTTTTATACTCTCATCTCACAAAGAGTCCTGTAGGCAAAGTCAGACCAATATATGGCCACACAGTTACAACAAAGTCACAAGGTGTCATATTACTTTTCTGAGAGTAAAAGAATATTTGTTAAAAGAATATTTACGCAAACTATACCACATTGCTTTTGTTAAAAGAATATTTACGCAAACTATACCATTAACTCTATTCATGAACATCTTTTCTACAGATCAGTTACTTTCTTCTGCTCCTAGCTTATTAACTGCAGAAAGATTTAGGAATAAAAAAAATTACTTCAAGTGAAAAGTCTTAAGGTTCTCATGGCCTAGCAGGCATAACTGAAACATTTCAACAACCTGAAAAGCCCTAAAAATATAATATTTTAATAAATGGTTGCAAACACAAAATAGGGCCAAAAATTAAAAAAACATAAAAGATTGAATTTTGCGGTCCAAAGTACTCTAGGACACTGATGCATGAGCTTTGGAAGATAAAGATTATAGTATTTAAGTGCTACAACTAGGAAACCACTTTTGGTGCTAAAAACTAAGTGCAAGAAGTGCTACAAATGAATGGTTTTCTGTTACTTAAAGAAACACTGTAACTATGACAGCTGACAGTAACATTAAAAGTCTTTTTGCCATTAACAGTCCAAAGAAAGAGAAAAAGGAGTCCATTATGATCTTTGCAGGAGAAGTGGTAGCAATGACTATTCACAAAACTCTATTTTCAGAATTTCCAAGCCATTTTTAGGTCTGTATATGGTATGGATTTGAGAAAAACTTGTTTCAACTAAAGGATTTGTTTACAACTCTGTGAATGTTCATTCCAATTTAATTTTTTTGTACCTTTCCACTTAACTTTATTTCACACAAGCAATTTCTCAAGATTGTATGGCCTTCTAGCCAAATCTGTCTAATATGGTTCCTGCTTTCCACACAGTTTTGAACCAGATTAATTTAACTTTCTTGATGACTCTGTTTGAACATACAGTCACCTGGGATTCCCTGAGTTCCATTATGACCAGGGCTGCTCTTACCCATATGTAGAATATGCAGCTGCTTAGGGAGCCCAAAAATTTGGGGCATCATTGGGCCTTAATGTTCACCTTCCCATCCCTGATCCATGGCTTCATATTCTACAGAGGGGATCTAGTTAACTGAAAAATGAAAAAGCCTGCCAGACCTATTAGAACACTGAACCTATAAAAGATCCATTCAAGTGATAATGAAGCCATTTAACAGGCATTTGCCAATACCAAGTATATACTTTCAGTTTCTGAAATTACTGTGTTAGCCTACAGGACCCATTACCCTAAATTTGCTTTATAATATTTCATTAGTGTGTTGCTGAAGATTATATAATCACATCTCTAAAAATTCATCCTCCTTCCTTCCTCCCTCCTTCCAGCTGCCATCAGGCACATGGGCACCAGTTTAATAATACAGCCTAGGATTTCATAAATCCTAAGGATGGCCCTGATTATGACCCTTTAGTTTTCTATTATATTTTGGGGCATCCATCAATGGAAACTGGATGCTTATTTCTATGCTAAAGACACATCTCTATTCATCACAAACATTAGAACTTTCATCTCAAAGAGACATACTTCTCCACAAAAACTATAATTATTATAATGCAACTTAGCATTCTCTGAAGTCTCATCCATCATTAGTAAAAGCTGCCAGGTAAATTCTGATAGTATGTTATGCTTGATGTAAGGAAACCCCCCCATCTTTTTGACAGATAAATTGAGCAGATTTGATATGGGAGACACTGAGACAGACTACATTATGGCACACTCTATATCACTTTTGTGATGACTGTTATAACTATATCCACATTTTTTAAGAACTGAATACTAGCACTATGATTCTTGACTTCTATGGTGGGTATTCAAGGTTCTCACTATCAAATTGTCTGCAAAGGTCAGAGCAGATAGAACCAGCAATTAAGAAACACACGTGAGCAGAACAGATAGAACCAGCAATTAAGAAACACACGTAACACTAAACTAACAACATGCAGCTAAGAATCATTTCAAGCATGCAGAACAAACCTTGTATATTTTATGTTGTCACTATTTAGATTACTTATTAATTACTCATCAAATGAGTAACAATGCCTAACTATTTCCTGTAGTAATGACTATTTTGTAGCAGGATATATTTTTATCTTCTGAATATATTCATCAGTTGTAACATATGCCTACTAAAACTAGTGAATTAAGTAGACTTACAGCACAGTATGGCCCAATGTACTTAAAGTGTTCCTGGCACACTTCTTTAAACAACAAATAGTCCCAAAGTTTCCTAACTATATTGAAATAAAAATGAAGGAGGGAAAAAAAGCCAAAGCACACAATTCCAACCAAAATATAATTTCAAACACTCAACACCCAGTACCTACAGGAATGGCGTCTGGAACAAGCTACAAAACAAAAGAAATAGAACAAAAAAATGAATAAATAAAAAAACACGTATACAGCAATGATGGACCTTATTGAAAATGAAAAAAACAACAACAGTTACAAATCTGAAAAATGACCTGAGCTGCAAAAAGCATTCACAATGCACAGTGAATCCATTCCTACCAGGTGGGCAACCTGCAGCCCATGAGGGTTCTATATGTGGTCTGTGAGGCATTTTACTGCTTTCCGGTCAAGTAGGCTTTTTTCATAGTAATATTACTAGAGTGATGTAAAGCAAAGGAACATGAAGTTTTTACTGCTTTCCGTCCAAGTAGGTTTTTTTCATAGTAATATTACTAGAGTAATATTGAGTGATGTAAAGCAAAGGAACATGAAGTGAGATGCATGCTGACTGCACACAACATTATCCCAGACACCTGTACTCTCCCTCTGCATTTAATATATTGGTTCACCCCACAAATTACAGGTATGCAAGTGCAGTCAGGAAACATGCCCCAATCCCAGGAGACCATCTTGGTTACAACAATCTTATGGCCCACTGAGATGAAGAAGGGACATTCATGCAGCCCACTCACTAGCCTTGGTTTATACTAAGTCTGGGTTTGAGTTTGTTCTATGTTGAAATCTCAAAACAGCTCTTGAAAATTTTCAAATCTAGGTAGAGGGTCACTTGTACTTCATACAACCTGGTTCCCTTTTATGAATGTCATTTCCTTTCAAACAAAAGTCCCATAGATTTAATAGGGATAAAATCAGTAGCTTCTACAGAAATTACTTTCAACATTGAAAGAATGAATAGAAAAGGATATCTACTCAACAGGGTTTAAAACTACCCTACAAAACTTTGTAGAAGGCATGAAAATCTCTATTAATTTCTATGAGACTTTCCCATAAATTCTCAGAACAACGCTCAGTTCCCAAAATGTGCCTCTGGTGGCTTGTCCACACATTTCCTGTTCCATCTTGAAATCAATTAGTTTCTTTCACAGAAGTCAGAAGAAAATGAACAATCCTCTTTGGGGAAAGAGCTACATATGACTCATTTCCAAGTTCCATAAAGGATTCCTCTATCTATATTGTGCAGCTAGTTGCTGGGGAAGCCTCTTCTAAACTCAGGTTGTATGGGTGCGTCTACACGGCAAATAGCTTATTTTGAAATTTGGTGCTGTCTACACAGAATAGTGAGCTCATTATATTTCTATCTGGGCTTGCTCTTAATTTGTGGAATAGCTATTTTGGGAAACCGGAGGTGTAGACGTAGTCTATAAGGGCCAAGAGACAATCCAAAACCTTTACATTCAACAGAGATGCATTTCATCCTCTCAAAGATCCTTGATGAATGAAA